TTCTATTTCTGCTATGACTGAAGAAACACAGAAGAAAAACATAGTTTTTCTCCTAACAAAACCTTCTTAAAGCATTGTTTTGATGCATTTTGATAGATTCACAATTCTCAACAAAAATATTTAAACCCAAAAGAAGCAGTCACTGAAGTTTTTCCTCCTAGAAAAAGGGCATTTCTATTAAAAACCAACAAAAATACTCTGATAGAAGTTTCTCAGCCAATCTAATCTTGGGCTGAACTGTGTAATAAACACAGGCTTAGAGGTAATGTTGCTTCCCAGGTCTTGTGGAAGCCTTGAATTAATAAATTAGGGTGGAAACCTCCTTTCACCGAAAATCCAAGACAGCTGGTCCCTTTCTTCTTCACCATCACCGGCAATAAAAACCTCACAGGCTGACCAGCACCTTCCCTCCCACCTGGACAAAGCTTCTTCCCAGGCTTTGTGCTTCCTGAGCCCTGGGCAAGCCCAGAGCCCACCAGACCCCCACCCTCCTCCCGAGGCCACACGAGCAGGAGGAGAAGGTAAGTTACGACTCGCAGGCAGGAGGCTGAGTTACCCAGGGTGTGTGTGCAGGAAAGGGTTACGCCATCTCGCTCCAGCAACAAGAGGCATCCGGTCCACTCGAGTTCACCGTTTGCTGCCTCTTGTCTTACAGTTCCCAGCTTGCTGTCTGAGCTACCTGGGTGGGGAAATATCGGAGAGCTTTGCTTACAGCTGCAGAAAACACAGCTAAGGGGCCAGAGGCTATCTGCTGCTTTTTTTAAGACCTCAGGGAGGTAAATGCTGCCCCTCAGTTTCTGGCTTCTGAAAGTACCAGCAGAAAAACCCTCTCCTCAATTTTTTCATAACTGGCCCTTACTACAAAGCTGGGCTGGAAATCTGCACCAGTGTAATTCAGGGCACATTAGCATGTTAAAGTAAACTTGATTTAAGTGAGAGCATCACTTGAAACAGCGATAGCTTTTCTCAATTAACTCTGCATGTAGGAAAGACCTTGAAATGCATTTTAAACTGCTATATTAAGGCTTTATAAAGTCCTTTGTGAACACTGTTATTCTGGCTCACTTTAAACCCAATATCCCAATCTGACACTAATACAAGGGTTGCAAATGTGACTTAGTAAGACAAAACTAAGCAGCTGAGTTGTGATAATACTACTTAACCCACTGCAATACAACATGCCAGTGACTTCGTACCATTTCTGCAGCCTTTTTTTGGTGTGAGGGAAAGGCAGAGTCCTCTGAGACAACCGGCCAGCCCCCTGCACGTCCCCAGGCACCATCCCGCAGCGCCAGGAGCTCAGCATCCTACCGGGCACCACGCAACACCAGCAAACAACACGGCACGGTTAGGGATATCAATGTTCCATGTTCTCATTGATTTGGCTGCAGCAGGTCAAACTTAGTGCCTCCAAGTACTCCAGTAAGGCAGGTATTACTGGTCGCGGCAGTTGAAGGCAAAATATTTTATGTCGCATCAGTGCTGGGCTGGGTCTGTGCACGTGGTTAATTAAAGAGGCTCAGCTAGAGAGTGGTAATTTCTTAAGCTGCATAACTTAATTGCTTGCAATCATCTGCCTGTCCCCACGCTAAGCTACTCCTAACATGAAAGAAGGCATTGAACTGTGGCCGTTAAAACTTATTCTTTTGGCTACTGAGGTGCAACTTCTGCGTGCAGATAAGCCCGAACCATTCCCCTTATGGTTATCACACGGCGGTGGCTCTGTACGCCCACCCTCACCAGCTCTGCTGCTGACATACAAGCAGTGCTAGGAGAGGCTCCAATATTCAACATTTACCTGAAAACTCAGCCTGGCTTTTCAGCTCACAGCTGGCCCCAAAGAGCTGCAGAGAGCCCAGCCACGGGCGAGCCCTCGTGGGCGGCAGCAGGGAGTCGGGGTGCGCCTGGTCCTCCCCACGGGCAGAGAAATCAAAAGCTGAGCCCTAAAAAATTAAAATTTTCTGCTATTCATCTCACAAGAGAGTTTGTTCCAGGACCAAGAGAGGATCTGGTGCCTTACGGAAGGGCCAGAGCTCCTGCGCGTCAGATACAGCAGCATCCTGCAGCAATGCTTCTTACACACCGAAAACTGGACTTCAACCCCAAGACGGATCTGTTTTACAAATTCCCTCTAGTGGGGAGAAGGTGGAAATTCAAGCTGCAAGGTTCAGCTCATGGAGTAATTCAAGCCCAAGTTCGAAGGGGCTGTAAGCTCCGGCGCTGGCCTGCCCACGGCCGCCTCAGCCCACGTGGGGAAAAACCAAGTGACCAGCTGGAGATTCCTATACCATGTCATGTTATCTGGAAATTTTTATTCCAACATAATTGAAAACTTTAAAAGATACACTTTTATGCATTAGAACTAAAACTAGCCATTTTATTATTTTTTTTTTAAATGGCTTCCCATACTAATAATGAAACATTTTACTTTGCAAGGTCAAGGCTGGTGGGTGTGGGCTGTTCAGAAGATGGTGATGGCCAGGAAGGTGCCTCCCCGGCCACTGCCGCCTCCTTCACGGCAGCTGGGCGAGCGCACTCGGGCTCTCATCGCCGGCAGGCAAACCCGGACGACTTTATTGCCGATGTAAATCAGAGAAGCTCCGCTGGCTTCTGAGGAGCGTTGCAGATTTATGCCAGGAGCTGACCCGGCATCTCTATTTTCAAAACTAGGGCAGATTGAAATATGCTGTTTTTCAATAATATATTCAGGTTAACAGGGCTTTTATATTTGGGCAATTAATCTTGCATAGACTGAGAACCTCTTGGGACAATGTGCAAAGGTTGCTAAGAAGAGGAAAACAAACACAGTTGTGTAACTCCGCTCTCCCATGTCTGCTCTCATGAAAACACACTGCAGCGATACGGCAGTGGTCTGAAACCCAGCAGTAATATTGCTTTAATGATCAGAAGCATGCCAAGACCTAGTATAGAAACGATTTTACTAAGGGGTAGTATTACTTCATCTTGTATTACTGTAAAATGATTCAAACCAGAAATATTGAGACATAAATCTGTGGTAACAGAGGAAAACCAATATTGTGCTGGAGAAAGTCTTTCCGGTTTATTGCAGGACCGTTCTCTCCCGCCGCGTGTGCTCGCGTGCAGAAGGGGAGGCCCGGGGCACGCACACGCGCTTGTCTCGGCGTGTCTGTGCACGTCCTCGCGCTATATTTAAAATCACGCTGGGTCCCAGGGCTGATCCCCGGTTGGTGCCACCAACGACTCTTCCCCAACCCGATCCTTGTCGTTCTGCGCCCCCCCGCCGTCTCTTCTGCCTGCCCAGCAGCCCCCCAGCCCTCTGCCAGCGTCCCCAACTCACCCAGTACCTCGGAGGAGCTGGGACAGGTGCCCTTCAGAGTCCGGACAAGTGAGGTGCACCGCGTCTGCTTTAGGAAACGGGCATCTGCCCGGGCAACGGCACCCAGCCTGCCGTGAGCCGCTTCTGCCGAATCTGTTGCATGTTATCCCATTTTCCCAGGCACCTCCACATCTCCACTTACCCCTTTTTTTGCCCTGGAGCTTGAGTAGGACTGATACATGACTCTTAGGCCTGTAATTGCCTCTGCTATTTTTTTTTTTTTCCTCTTTGCATTTGCTTTTCCCCAGTCCTGCAGTATCATCCGCAGCTTCACAGATTTACTGAGAGCATGTGATCTGACCTTTGATTTTTAATTCTTCCAGCGTATTAGACTCTAAAATAGCCTGGGAACACAACTGCTATATGCCGAGCAAACCAGTAATCATGGGTTTGTGCTTGAGCCCGGGGAAGGAAATACTACCAACTAAAAACTGTGGAACTGCTTGCTTTCTGACCAAGCTGCCGAAGCGCGGTGAAGGCGACGCTGCCCAGCAATCTGCAGGACGAGAGCATCAGCGGAGAAGCGGCTGACTGCAGTGGAAACCATTCAGTCACGTATAGTAGCTGCATCATTGCACGACAGAAGTTTCCGATCGCAAATAGCAACCGACTCTGAGAGAATATGCAGGTGGCTACTGCTTGATTAATGTGTGCTGCATCTGTTGTTTCCAAGTGGCAATGGCACCGTATAAACACACCACTGCAATAGCAGTGCGTTGATTTATGCTAGCTGAAAATCTGCCCCTTCACACTGGTTTGGTTTTTTTCTTTCTTTCTTTCTCCTCCCACAAAAAAATAATTTCCTTCTGAGCCCAATAAAACAGAAGATCTCATTGGTTCTATGTTATAATAGTAATATTGCATTCTGCTAGGAACCAGCAATCTGCCTCTGGCCATGAAATTCAGGTAATGACCCATAACTGAAGTAAATTAGTGTTTAATTTCCCATCCCTTGCAGACAGCTTACTAACAGAAATTGATTTCTAGCTTTTTTTCTTTTTCATTTAACATGCTTGTGTAATGTCTTTATTTTAGATTGAAGTGGTTTCCAGTGCCTTTTAGCCAAAAGCGTACAGGTGACCACCGCAAGCGCCTGGCGTTAAGCAGCGCGGGGCCGTGGCAGGGACACCCCGCGCGTGCAGCGGGCTCCTGTCCTGCCCTCGCACCACGGACACGCTCTGGGACCCGTCCTCGGGTGGAGTACATCGGCAGAGCTCACATCCGTGTAACACGCAGAAACGTCCCGCTGTTAGGGACCTGAGCCCTTACGCACAAGCTCTCGCACAATTACCACGTTCATTTGTACGTGACACCTTTTAATTTCTACTTTCGCGTGCCCGCTGCGCGCTCTGACAGATAAAAGGTGCTTCTGCCCCGCGCAGCCACCCTCCGGTCTGCAGGCGAGATCCTCGTCCTCAGACCGCGCCGGGAGCCTCAGATGTCACACCTCGGTGCTGGCCCGTCCTGCCCCGCGCACGGTTGCTCAACCACCACCAAATCTCCTGTAATTCTCCCCGAACGTGGGCTCTTGTGTAATCTGATACAGCCACCGGCGCACACACACACACACCCTTTTTTCTGCTATTTAGGTAAAACTCAACCGACAATTTCTTCACTGTATAGCAGCACCAGCATTAGACAGAGCCTGGCCTTGGATGTCCAACCCTTTTTCCTTGCAAGGGAGAGAAAGGCAGTAAGAGACGGTAAGGTCTTTTTACAGCTCCTACCCGTCAGGTTATAACAACTGAGAGACAAAATAAGGGTTTATAACAGTGTTGTGTTATTTTCAACCCTCAGTTACTTCTGCAGTCTATCATCGGGTTAGTCTGGCAACTGCAAAGGAGTTGGGAGGAGGGGGGAAAAAAAAAAAATCTACTTTTTGCCGTTTTTCTTTGCTGAAGTGCTACAGAGGAACCAGAACTCAGCTGGTGCTGTTTTACACTTTAAAAGCAGGACTAACAGCTATTATTTTTCTCAGTGTTCATTTGATTTTCTGGTTCCATAGACACTTTAATAGAGCTATAAATTGTCCGGTAAAGGAACTGTTAGAGATGGTGTCTGGGGTATTTGTTCCTTATTGATGTGTAAATTGGCTCGTGCTGCTGGCGCGCGTTTCTAAAGAGGAATGCTTTGTAGCATGATGATAATAATAACAATTAGCATAGGATATAGCACAGACTTAATTGTGAATTAAGATCCCAAACAGAGATGCCTGTGCAGATCAGTCCTCTCCTCCTGCTCCCCCTTTCTCTGACCGGTGCTCAGGGTGCCAGGGACATTTCTCTGGGCGAGGGAATTTTCTTTGCCTGCTTCTCTCTCCTTGCATTGCTAAACCCCAACCTTTCCCGAGCGCGTTTGTCCGGGTGCCTTTTGCGCTTCTGCTGATTGCACAAAACTGCTGTGCTCCTGGCGAACCCTATGTGTTATCCCCAGTGAATGCTAATTTGGGTTTAATTCCTTAACGGATCGCAAGGGCAGGTGGATACAGAGAGCAAAGACTGGCAGGTTCAGAGCGCTACTGCGGATAACGGCAGGGGAGACCCCGGACAGAGAACAAAATGCTAGATGTTATCCTTATCACAGCTGTCTTGTCTGGGAGCATAGTGTAATTATTAAAGTAAATGTTCCTTCCTTTTATGCAAGATGATGACTGTGAGCAAATTAAGAAACTACTCTTGTGCCTCAGTTTACCTGTTTACAGAGGTGAGAATCCACCTCCGCCTGCATGGACTGCAGGGAGGATTAAACGAGGTTCACTGAGCATTTGCAATTCGCTGTAGGGTGTTGTCTTGTTATAGACCTCATTTAAAATATAAATCCATGGTGAAAAATTAGATGAAGTCATAATGGACGGGGGTTTCTGGGCATGATCTGTCTGCAGTTTTATATTCCGAATCGCATGCAGAGGAGAGATAACAGCTCTGCTGAGATGCGGAGCCCCCATGAATGTACATTAAAGTTTGTGTGCTGTCTGACTTGGGCATCCAGAGGAGGAATGATAAAAGTAGCTGCAGTCTTGTCTTCTAAGAATATAACCGCCTTGGCTGAACCCTGCCACACGAATATTGTAAGAAGCCATGAAATAGCAGGGGGGAGGCACTTTGCTGGGTAGATCAAGGGGAAAAATGTAACCGTGACAGAAATAATTACCCCTATTTCAGAGCTCGGGAGATGGGCAGAGGGGAGTCAGCAGAGCTGAATACAATATTTAATACTTACCTTCTGCCTTAGAGACTAAAGTGGAATATGGGCAATTAGAGAAAAAGCTTGAAAGATCAAAGTAGGAAAAAAATGTCCTTTTACAGTGATAATCAATTATTGTTTTTAACTTACAGCACTCAAAGGGCTACTTCAAGCCACCAAGGAAGGATGTGGGCTTATACTGTTGGTTTCACTGTCCTGCCTCATGTTGGAGGTTTCCTTGGCTGGTTCATTAATCGAAAAGAAATTCCTGTTTGGTATGAGAAGCTGAAAAAACCTTCATGGTGTCCACCCCGCAAAATATTCCCTGTCGCTTGGACTGTCCTGTACACCGGCATGGGGTAAGTTCCGCCTCCCGCTCCCTCTCTCATCCCGCTGCCTCTGGTGCAGGGAAGAACAGACATTTCCAACTCTTCCGTTTGCTTTTGGGATATCCCTTGTACCCGAATCGGCGGGGCATGTCAGGGGTGCTCATTGCCAGCAGATGAAGTACAGCCTGAGCCAAATTCTGGGCCGAGTTCCTCAGATTCACGCTGCAGGCAATGCTTTCGGCCAGGGACACAGCCCGTGCTCAGCTTTGTAAACGGACACTAAAACCAGCCGCTGTGCTGGGGACGTTGCACGGGCCACGCAGGTGTGACACAGGCTTGAGAGCAGCACGGGACACGGATGCAGCTGTCCTGCAAATCTCTCGTTGCGAAACGATCTTACATGAAAAGACTTTGTCTGTACTAGGGGTTTACTCGCTGTGAACACTGATGTGCTTCCCTCTTCACAGCTATGCCTCCTACCTGATATGGAATGACCTGGGTGGCTGCAGCAGCAAAGCTCTCATCCCGCTCGGCCTCTACGGGGCTCAGCTGGCCTTGAACTGGGCTTGGCCTCCCTTCTTCTTTGGTGCACGTAACCTGAAGATGGTAACGTATCCGGCCACCATTCATCTGCTGGAGGCTTGTTTGCTGGTCTCCCTGCCACGGGTTTTGGGGTCGTTTGGAGATTTTCTAACTAGCATTATGCAATTGTAAAGAGAGGTGCAAGAAGAGCTTTTGCTCAGATATAGTTCACGCTGCACCTGGCTCTAGACAATGGTATCAGTCCCTTCCACCCCTCGCCCTGCTCTTGCCTCGCAGATAGCCGGCCTGAGCAGAGCAGGGCGGGAGATCGGGGAGCCGATAGTCCCGCTGCTGCATCGCCGAGTTAAGGACTCGGGGCTAGAGATAAGTCCTTCTGGGAGTCACACCCTGCGCCGGCAAGCAGCACGGTTAGCATCTCTGGGGGGGCACGTTAGCTGTGAGTGGCTTATCGAGCAAATACAATGCCCTGTGCCCTGCAGAGCCTGCTAGAGGATGTGCACAAAGGTAAGGAACGGCAGGGCTGGACTTGTGATATATTCAAAAAGCACTCACCTGAGGTGCCAGGGCCAGGAGGTGACGGAGGCGCAGAGTAGGACTATTGTTTCCATCCGAATTTTGTCACTCTGTGGATGAAAAGTATGTTTAGAAAGTTTGATAAGTGATATTAGCCATCAGTACTAACATAAGCACGTTTCTGATCTGTCTGCATAGGCGTTATCAGCAGAAGGGGACACCGATTGTCACAAACAGTGTATTAATCTGCAGAACTCAATAATGAAAAAAGAATTAACATTAGTCTTGGCTCCTGGTGCGATACGTTCAAATCTCACTGATTAGCGTTCAGAGCCAAGGTCCTGGGGTTTAGGCTTGCTAAAAGAGCCATCAGTGCTAAAGCTCCCCCGTTCCTATTCCATCTCGCCAACATGAGTAGGACGGTCTGCGGTCATGCTGGGAAGACCGCTGCGTGTTTCCAGGAGTGAGCACCAGAGTCACTGTCTTCTCTCTGCTCTGCAGGCCCTGGTTGACATCCTGTGCTTGGACGGCCTGGCGATAGGCACGCTGTGCTCCTGGTACCGCATCAACAAGATAGCGGCGCTGCTGCTGGTGCCCTACCTGGGCTGGCTGGCCATGGCGACCTGCCTCACCATCCGCATCTGGAAGGACAACCCCGAGCAGAAACCAGGGAAGAGTGAATAAGATCAGGATAAATGAAGGCATTTTGTGAAACTAAAGTATGCTGATGTGAACCAAGATCTAATAATTTGAGGGGGGTTCATTTTTGGGACAGGCATCAGAACCTGCCGCCTCCTCCCGCCTTCATCACAGCTTGTAAAAGAAAGGTTTGCCCCGTGCACCCATTGCTCCTTTAAAGTAACCCCGCATCCTTACCCTGGGAACTAGTTTCTCCAGCACTGTTGAGTTTGGGGCTACAAACTGTATGGTGACCTTAACGCAACCAGGTCAAATGCCATTAGTCAAATTAGGATCTCATGACAGCAGCGTAATTCCGGGTAGCAATCCTGCACCCCCTTCAAACTGCTGCCATTCTCCCAGAGAGCAGAACTTGTTCACACACATGGTAAATCCCGTCTCCTCTTCTGGGACCAAACAAAAATGCCCTTCACTCATGCACACCAACTTTTAAGAACTTACTTGATTTTTTTTTTGCTATTTGTGCTGTTGCTTCATTTTCTCGTATCACCTGGTTTGTGCTTTATACCATTAACTTTTTATCTGTCAGCCACTGAGCAAGCAGCAATCTGAGACTGAGCACTTTGACTTCTATTTGTGGAGTATCGCACTTCTTGAGTTTCGTGCTCCAAGATAAAGCAGCAATGATTAGAATGCAAATGCTTCTCCTGAGAGGAAATATCTCTCTTCCACCTCTGTGTGCTATTTCTCATCAGAAAAGAAAAACAAACATCCGTGCCTTTGAATTTTTTTTTAAGTACAGAAACACAAGAGCCTTTGTACAATTTAAAAACTTGCTCACGCTGCCTTGCAGGTTGTAATTACATGATTGGCAAAAAGCCCCATGCCAAGTCTGTCAGATGCAGTACAGGTATCTCGTCCCAGAGTCTTTCATTCCTGAATATTATTAATCAGGAAAGGCTTGGCAAAAAGCCCCATGCCAAGTCTGTCAGACGCAGTACAGGTATCTTGTCCCAGAGTCTTTCATTCCTGAACATTATTAATCAGGAAAGGTTAAAATACAAGTAGTTCTAGAGAAATGGGACCAAGCCATGACAGAATCAGACACAAAAGGTGCACGGACTAGCTCTTGTCCATCCTTTATTGTGGGCCTTGCCTTTGATAAATCTGAACCTTAGATGTTGCTGTGTACAGAGAATATTTACTACTATTTTTTAATTGATGGAAGCAATGTAGGTGAAGAAAAGTGGTAGGTGGATCTTCTTCCTGGCAGCTGACTGTAGATTAAGGTTTGTGGGTATACTTGCAAAGGGTGGGGGTAGGAGGGCTTAGCTGGGGCTGTAAAATAAATTGTATTTGCTTTTAATAAAAATAAGCCACTTTTGTGTGCAGAATAAATCCAAATTATTCTTGTTTTACTGGTTTGGCATGAGGTTTGCAAAAGCTCAGGGGATCCTGTCTGGAGTCCAAGGCTTGTGCTCTGGCTCCAAAGGGAAGGGGATGGGCAGCAAGGCTCTGCAGGGCGCCGGTGCCCAGACCCACTCCTGGGTGCATGTTAGGAGTAAAAGGGCTGTGTGGGTCCCAAAGGTTCCTTCAGCCCCTGCACGGTGGGACAACGCTCCCTTGGGGGTGCATCCCTGTGACGACAGGCTCCTCCATTACTCTTCACCCACAGTGTCCAGGTAAGGAAGCTGTAACCTCGGGTTTGGGGTCCTTCCTGCGTCATGGCAAGCCTGATTTTGAGAGATGCCGAATGTTCTCAGGTCCAGCTCATGTAAACGGCGGAGCTGGGTGCTCAGCATGACCGAAAGCTGGAGCCAAAAGAAACAAATACCAGTAGCTGAGAGCAGCTGAAACTTGTAGTGCCTTTTTAAAATTTGGCTGTATATCTTGTGCTGTCATTTTGATCCCATCCATTATTTTTCCCTTCTAGCTACAGTACACCTTGATACAGGACTGCTGCTGCAAGCGTATTGCTGTAATCTCCCGAGCAAAACCTGCCTAAGAACAGGCCATTGGATAGATGTGGCTGTAAGCAGGGGTAGGACTATAAACCATGAGCACTGCAAGCAGCACTAGAAAGATCATAAGCTACATTAAAAAATAAATCCTAAATCCTATATATTCCAGGGCTTTATATAACTGCATGTTACCACTGAGCTTATTTACAGTGATGTCTCATCTGTGTCTTCCAGAAAGCCACATGCCAAAGGACAGGAAGATATAAATTATTTCTCCCTAAAAAGAAGCTAATATCTGGGCTGGAGATTCAATTCAGAGGAGTTAAGAATGATTTAGGGTGTCTGAGCATCGTTATGCCTGTCCTCTCCCAGCCGGCACAGCAAAGCCATGAGGAGCGGGGATGAGCAGGGCCACCTAATGCAGCTGGGGGGGGAATAACGCAAGTCCTTACAGTGATCTCTGCTCTTGAAAAGGGGAAAAAGTATTACTTACGTCACATTTAAGCTGGTAAGTCACTCTAGATCTGGTTCAAACCTGCAACGTTTTAATAGCATTTCCAAATATAAATAAATGGATACATATTTGATCAGCTTTCATAAATTAGTCCTCTTTCCCCTTCTTCCCATTTTTCTCTGCAGGTAAAGGAAAATCTGGAATTAAGAGTAATAGATTTCTTTTGATTTTTTCATGTTTGCCGTCCCCGTTTTCCCAACTGGTGTGACTGGCTGACTTGTTCTCATCTTCATTTCAGTTCCTCTTCCTTCCAGTGCACCTATAAGCGCACCAATAGCTTCTCTTTGCTACTTGCATTTTCTTGCAGGCAGCAAAAATAGCAAATGCTCCTACGTGTACTATACATAATAGCTTGAAATCAATTGACAAATTCAGCAAAGCACCCTCTTGTATTAATATTTAAAGCATCATTTGTGTATTTGCTATTTAGACAGATGCACTAAAACCTTTTGCATAAAAATAACTTTAATGACATTTCAAAGACAGTCAGTCATTGAGAAAATTTCTCAGTTACACTGTGCAGTGCAGACCAAAATCAGCCTCTGCCCTTGTGAATCTAGAGGGGTCCTGGTTTCCCATTCGTGCTGCATAACGGGGCTTGTGCTCCTGCTCACGCGATGGCTGGAACAAGCACGTGGATCCATCCCTGTGTCACAAACAGACCAGAGGGAAGAGCAGAAAACCAAAACAGCGAGGTGCTAGAAATCCAAAGCACAGTTAGGAACTGGCTTGTTAAAAATCAATGAAATTTTGCCTCCAAGAAAGGGGATTCCCCACGAGGTCTGTGGTGCATGAGCTTGGGGCTCTCCTCCCTGCTGCACACCATCCTCCCCAGGGACCCTTTTTCCCCCGAGGCTCCAGAAGGAGCACTGGGACGTTTTGCTTATGCCAGCATGAACCAGGCGGCAACAGCTGGATCACCTTAGCAACCCCCCCAAATTAGCTTATGGACTGGATATCATGTCCCAGCCAGCCTCAGGAACATTCATAACCCACGGTGGGACATGTCACGGTTTACATGATTCAAGCAGTGACTCAGACAAAGGCCGTGCATTCGTGACAGCTTTCATGGGGTCGTGGCATTTCGAGAGCAGAGCCATCTCTCAGATCACCATGCCTAATGATGATCCCTCTCTTCAAACTTCAACCAGTCTTTCCAGAAAGACATATCTGATATTAAACTGATTGTTACACTTGATCTTAGCCCAAAGGGCACATCCCCGGCTGCTGGGTACACAATACTTGTGCATAAACAAAACCTTTCTGCCGTTCAGTCCAGTCTCTTTTCCTAAGCCTTGTCTCATTCAATAATTTACCAGCTGTTCCAGAAAACTCTCTGGCTTCAGCAGTAAGGAACTTTAATTGATTTGTTGATGTCTAGAGCTATGTTAAAATATAGAGTCAAACACTAGAGAGGATTTGCTGCAGTGTGCACATAAACTTCAGAGACCAGACTGCAGCCCGCAGCCCCCCCCACCCCTCCATTAGGAACAGAAATTCCTGTGGCTTTGAGCACCAGCAGCACAGTTGGGGCTGACCTTCCCCTTGAACTGCGCCCAGCGAAACCGCGGCAGAAGCCCAGCAGGAAGGAGGGTGTGCTGCTTGGTGCCATCGTTAACTTCCAGTTGGGCTTTGCAGGAATCGGGCAGCCAGCAGCGCCTGCTCCTTCCCGGCCCCGTGGTAACGGCCGTGCGAGGGCTGGGGGTCGCGGCCAGGGAAGGTAAGGCAGGAGGGAGGGAGACGATTTCTTCTCTCCGCCTGCACCGTGTGTTGCTTCAGCTCTGGTGTAGCACACAGGGAGCGACCACCCTGCAGAGAGGGAGGTGGGCAGCGGACCCCTGGGACGCTGCAGCCCCTTCTTTTAAATCTTGGCATTGCAGTCCTGCCGCGGGAGGAGAGGGACAGGCAAGAGCCCGCGAGAAGGAAAGCTGCCTCTGCACATCACTGTCAGAGGGTGTTTATTTATTTATCACGTAACGGTAGTTACAGCTGGAAAAAGCAGGAGGGGGATTGCTGCCAGACAATGTAGCCAGGGAGATGTTTTGTTAGTGCCACCAGCTGTCCCCCCGGAATAGAGAGCACGGCTGAGCCATGACTCACACAGCCAGGGTCTTATTTCACTCTCGCTTCGATCCAAAAATGTTCCTCCAGCCCGAGAATGCAATAAAAACCTCCTTTTCCTGGCAAGGACTTTCGCAGCCGGGTCTCTCCCACCGCCCCTTTGTGATCAGGAAGCCAGCCCTGTTCACCTCAGGACAGTAGCTCCTGCTGCAGCCAGAGGAACAGCCAGAGGAACAGCAGATGACCTGCCTGGGACATATGCCGAGGGAATACAGCACTCTCTCTGTGAGATACTTATTTAAGATGGGGAAAATGTCACCAGATTGTTCAGAAACATCTCTAAAGTCAGTGGAGAAACTCTTCTGGACTTGGATAGATGCAGGATCAGACCTTAATATCCAATACTTCAGCAAAGCTAGAAAGCTTCTCCTAGACCAGGTTGTCGTCTCTGCCTTGCCAGCAGTGGCCTTTGCTGGTGGCATCCCACGCAGACAGCTCTTCAACTCTCACTGCGGGTTGGTGTCCCTGAGGTCTGCTCCTCCCCATTACTCCACCTAGTTCTGCTCAGGCATTCTGGCCTTGATGCCCCAACACAGTGAAGCCAGACCTTTTAAAATAGAGGGAG